TGCTACACTACTAAAGGGGTGCAGGGTGTAAAAATGCAATTCTAGTACTTTTTTCGTACCATATAGCAAATTTTTGTTGATATTTTGTGTACTTTTTACTCTCAATTTACACTTCAATAATATCACCCTTCTACCCACATTCATATTATTTATTATTATTTGTGTGTATCGTATCTATATACTTGTTAATACACTTTGTAAGAAACGGGAGTACAACAAGTGCGGGCCCACGTACGTGAAGCGCATCATAAGTAGGAAAAGCTCACATGAAGTCCAAGTGAGGTTCTATACCAAAATCAATTAGTGGAATGATGAGTAGTCCATTAGACTTGTAAATTATGTATATTTTCTCCATATAAAGACAACTCACAAGTGATATTTTAACACACTTAATTTGTGTTTTTTTTTGGTAATCACTTTTGAAGTAATATTGTTGATTACTGTTTTAATTAAATGATCATTAGTTTTTAATTCCGGTTGACCAATATATTTGAAAGCCCAATAAACTAATTATTCATTGATTAAGGTTGTATATTTTTGGCCCAAAATGGTTTTTACTTATCTAGGTCCAGGTAGCTCAATGGGTGACTCTCAACAATCAACATTATTACAAAATAGAGGAAATTACCTGGTCCACTACACAATAGTCTTTTTATTATATATTTACAGCCCATGTATACTTATTTGCATAATAGCTAAAACTATCATATTTATTTGCAAACATACCAGAACGTTAATTTAATCATAATTCTATTTTATTTATGGAATAGCGGGTTTAACGGAGGAGTTGATTTGTCTGACTGAAATTGATTCCTATCATTAAGGAACTACCTCCCACGGTTATACAAATCGCTTTCATTTTCGTCATCATCTTCTACTGTAAAAATAGTTGTTCAGTTATAGGCGATGAAGATTGAAATCGAAGTTGTGAGGCGACAGAAAAGTGGTGAAAGGCTGAAAGCTCTACAGGGTGAACTATTGAATGTATTCGTAGGTTGTTGTTATTATTATTGTGTTTGTGCAAATGATTTTCCTACGTATATTTTTTCACGATCCACGAATCATAATACTAATAATTAAAATCTAAATATATTTTTTTTTTTAATTTTCTCGGAGAATTGTAGTTTGCTGTTTGTAGACCAGCCTTTGGAGTGTATACTATATATATCCAACTCTTTTTTTTTTTTTTTTTTTTTTTTTTTT